GATCACCTCACCACAGAATCTTGATTCAGCACTGCCCTCTACCTGCTAAGAGTCCTTGGTATTCAAGGGGGATACTGAGGCAGATTGTCCTTTTGAGTAAGAGATGTGTTAGGAGAGTTGGTAAGACCTCCCGAAGACAGCATGATAGGAGTTCTGAGACTAATTCAGGCTTGCAAGGCAAAGTTGGGGGTTCCTTCTTAGGTTTCAGAGAAGAAAGTCCCATATCATGCAATTGAAGACTACCCCATAGTACCCGCACCCAGGTTGATTCCTGGGCAGTAGGGGAGAGGGAAAGGTTTGGTCCTTTAGTTAATGAGTGTCCATCATATGGAATGTGTTATCTCTGGTTCCTGATTGCTTGGGGTCTCTGGGATGGGGAAGGGAGGATTTCAGGTCCCAGGCAGCCTCTCTGTAAAGTGCCTACCATTTCCATGTAGCAGTGGGATTTATAGAGTCAGCTAGGAGGGAACAAGGCTGCTGCTGCTGAGCATAAGCTGTGTAAGCCCTAAGCCAAACTTAGCTCCATTTGATCACCGTGCCAGGGACTGTGATCTTTCTGCGCCCCTCTGCCGTGCCAACCTTGGTCTCCCTAACCTACCTCCCTGTGTAGCATCCACACTCCTCCTCCTCAGCACCTGACTCCTTTTGCTTTCTGCTTCCTCTGTTATCGCTTGTACCTGATGGTCCTCCACAGGCCAACGCTTTAGAAGTGTGTATTTCTCTCGCACTGAAGTTTTCCATGTCTAAGGTGAACAAAGGCTGGAAAGGCAGAAGGGAGCAGGATACACAATCCCCCCACCCTCAGAGTGAGATACAGAAGGTAACGCTGGGCAATAACACTGTGGATAAGTAGTTATCTCCGTCATGATGAACAGACAGGATCGACACTCAAGAGTATAGGAGCAAGGCTAGGCATCATGCGGCATTGGTCACAATGCAGCAGAAAGTGCACCAGGCATGGAGAAGGGCCTGAGTTGTGAGGCCATCTTAGCTCTTGTGGGTCTAAACAGTAGCTCTTCTGCATGCAGCAGCTTTATGGGAATCCAGTGCTTGATGGGATCCTCTGCCCGTAAACCAAAATCCATATCTAGATTTAGCTACAGAGACAGCTATGTAGAAGTAGTGTTATAGTATTGAGATGGGTCAATATGTGTCTCCAGTCTTGCTGCCACTCCATTGTACTCTCTGCTATCAGAACAATCTAGAACACATCCCTGCCTGGAACTCTTCAGCGGCCCTCTCTATCTAAGGCACAAGTCTGAGGTGCTCGTGTCTATGGACCTGATCTCTCCTTACTTCCTCCCTCCTTCCTGACCCACACAAAGCTCCAAGGCTGCCAGATGATTCACATAATTCCCCCTTCTCCAGCCCAGGTCCCCCCTCCCTCTCTCAGTAGCTTCCTTCCTGTCCATCTTCTATTTGATCTTCAGGATACTGTTCAAGGTCCATCACCCTGCCAGTTATGATTTTCGAAAAAAAAGAGAAGAACCAAGCACAATGGAGCTGAGATGGTAAGCCCCCGCTCTTTTTCTGCAATGCTGGTCCTGTAGCAGGTAGGGACATGTGAAGCCATTGGCTCTGCCAGAGTTACACCCTAGCTCAGCCACTTCCTGGAGAAGTCCCTTGATTTTTCTCTTTAATGTCTTCCCCAGACATCCCAAGCCCAGGCTAACTTAGGTACCCCTTCCCAGGGACATGGTGGGGGAGCACAGGCTTTCCTTATCCCTATACTTCTGCTCTTATCTCAGTGGTCCTCAGCCTTCCGAATGCTGCAATCCTTTAGTGCGGTTCTTCATGGTGTGCTGACCCCAACCACAAAATTGCTTTTGCTGCTATTTCATAAGTGTAATTTTGCTACCGTTGTGAATTGTAATGTAAGTGTTTTTGGAGCTAGAGGTTTGCCAAAGGGGTCACAGCCCACAGACTGAGAACCACTGTTTTCTCTGATTCCTGTCTGCGCGGCACAAAGGCTATTAGCATTTATCAGGAACCAGATCTGGTTTGCCTGTGGAGTTCCTCTGCTCAGCTTGGGGCCTGACACCTACACATGTAAATGTCTCTACAGAGAATAAATGAATAAATTTGATTTGGGGTAAGAGATGGAAATCAATATTTTTAACCTTTAGTGCCTCCTTACTATTTATTTCCATGATCTTCTTTGATAAGGTAAAGAGGTTTTCACAGCTGAAGGGCATGGGAAAGGTAATTCTTGGCTTTATGTCAAGTGGACACAGGCTAGAGTCATCCGAGAGGAGAGAACCTCAAATGAGAAAATGCCTCCATAGGATTGGACTGTAGTCAAGTCTTGAGGGTGTTTTCTTAATTAGTGACTGATGGGGGGGGGGGGCAGCTCAGTGAATGGTGCCATCCCTGAGCTGGAGGTTTGAGGAAGCAGGCTGAGCAAGTCACAAGGACCAATCCAGTAAGCAGCACCCCTCCATGGCCTCTGCACCAGTTCCAGCCCCCAGGTTCCTGCCCTGTTTGAGTACCTGTCCTCAGTGCCTCTGATGACGAACAGTGACAATGAGGAGTAAGTAAAATAAACCCTTTCCTCCCCCAAGTTGGCTTGGGTAGTAGAGTTTCATCAGAACAATAAAAATCCTAAGACTACAGTATTGTAAAGAAATGAAGGACTCCAAACAGACTATGCACAGATATTTCGTCTATGCCAACATTCATTGGCAGTTGACACTGTAGTTAGAGCCATACTAACCTTTTGTGTGTAGATTCAAATCACCCTCAAAATAATCCCCGTTCTATAGAAGAAACTTCCGAAGAAGAAAAAGTTAAAGAACTTTTCCAGCAAGTGGCTGAGCTAACAGCTCAAATCTGACAGAACTGATGGTTTTAATCATCAAATCGCCCTGCCCGCTGTGTGAGCATCCTTGCCGAGAAATGAGGGGGCCATTTTCTCAATCATCTGTGCTCTCGCCTCTGTTAGTCTTTCTTTTCTCCACCTTTACTGGAAACTCACAGCTTTAGATAAATTGGCTCACCAGTCGCAAATGACAGCGGAGAGCCTTTCCTGATGGGTTCAGAAAACATCTATATAGCCAACACCTTGCCAGTTGCTAAGCGGGAGTCATGGCAGAGTAAGTGTCGATTACACTGTGGTCCCTTTGGAATTCATTTCCCTACCTCCTAAGGAAAGGGCTGTGCAACATTTTGATACATGTCTGTGAGGTTGTACTTTTTCAAATGACTGTTCAGACTATGGGGGAATGAAACTGGAGATTACAAGGACTCTGTGGGGAAAAAAACTTTGGCACCCACCAGACTTTTGACATCAAAAGACTTGGCAAAGAGAAAGAGAACTTAGGGCAATGGCCTGGGTATACTTGAACCACTGTTTTCTAAGGGGGAAAAGTGTTTAAAAGGAGATTGTAGAACTGGACAGGCAGACTTGGGCAGTAGTACTGTGCTTGGTAAGTCTAGGAGCCGTCTTAGAAGCCATTGGATAAGGGATCTTTGATCAAACCAAATGAGAAGCTGGGTTGAACCTCAACAATTGAGGGTTGTGTTTCATTAGGCTTGGTTCACAGGTATTTGTATTTTGTCTTCATTTTGGTGGTGTGTGTGACTGTGTGGAGGAGGCTCATGTTCAGAGCTAAAGGAAAGGGGGCTTTTGATTCCCTTGGCCATAAGCACCAGTTCCTACCATCTCAAAAGGGACCGAGTCACAGGAATGTCTGCATCTCTCTGCCCTGTCCCTAGCCACAGACACAGAAATGGCCCTGGGATAATAGGAAAATGTTTGCTTTGCATTATCCTAAGTGCAAACCTGTGACAATGGAGAAAATCAGCACAACACAGTCACCTTGAAATACCATCTCTGGCAAACCTGGCTTTTGCTTTTGGTTTGTAAACAGCCTTCTGCAGAATGCAGGGCTATCTCCAGGACTGACTTTGCTGTTTGATTGTCTTCACATCCGGCACTTTTAATGTTCTTTTAATAATACTGGACTGGTGTTTATCTGCATTCTGACCAGATATAAAAACCAAGTAATTGCTGGGCAGAGGAGGTTTGTTTGCAATTAATTTTTTTTTCTTAAAGAGAAACTCTGCCACCCTCTGGACAGAAATCAAAGATCTGCTTCTTAGAGATATACACAGAATAGTTTTAAAGACTTCCTCCCACTCCCTAAAAATAGACATTAAATAAGATCTGCCCTTTAAGAATCTGGGGGAAGGGGTGGGATAGAGCCATGTAGAAGAAGTCCTGGTTGCTTTAGATAGTATAGACAAAATACATGAAGAAGAAAACCAGAATATCCCTACAGATTTTTTAAAAAACTAAAGAGAGAACGGGCTCAAAGCCCATCCAAGAAAAGATCTCTGGCCTTTAACACACACTCTTTCCATGGCCTTTTGTAGAGTTCACATCTGCTCCCTGCTCCCCAATAGCCAGGTCAAGACGTCTTAACACATTTTAGCCAAGGCTGCTTTGCAGCTACAATTATACTAAATGTAACTAAATGTAATGGTTACAGTTATACTAAAGGTAACAGTAACAGTTATTCTAAATGTAACAGTTACAGTTATACTAAATGTAACTAAATGTAACAGTTACAGCTATACTAAATGTAATAATCACAGGTATACTAAATGTAACTAAATGTACCCAGTAAAGCTATACTAAATGTAACAGTTACAGCTATACTAAATGTAACAATCAGTTATACTAAATGTAACAGTTACATTTATACTAAATGTAACATTTACATTTATATTAAAGGTAACTACATTTTTAATGAATGCTAACTGACACAAGGACAATGAGATCTTAACTATTTGGCAAATTAGTCACAAGAATTCAGATAGGCAGTTTTTGAATCCTGCCTATTCATCCACAGGACGTGCTGAACGGTAAACAAATGAAACTCTGAGAAAACCCAAAGATATGGTTGTTACCATTCAAGATGTAGAGCAAAGCAAAGCATAGCCATGCCCTCCTCCCAAATACCCAAAGGAGGACTCCAGAGAGGTGCACAGAACCATACCTGGTTTTAGCAACAGGGTTCAGACGCTTCTGGTCTCGGAGCACGTTGGCCAGCTGTTTTTGCAGAAACAAAACCTTGCCTTGAGTTCCTTTAATGAACGGGTGGTCCAGGAGATGGGTGACCGAAGGCCGCTTTTCAAAATCCTTAATAAGACACCTGTTTGTAAAAAATCAACAGATAATTCAAAAGTAAAACATTTGACATTCTCTTTCCCTGGGGATACAAGAAAGAGGAATCCTGGTGGTACACTCAATCATCAACCCCAAACAGCTCTTTCCTCTGAAATATGTGCCAGAAAGTGGAAAAATTCTATTGATTTGATTAGTTAAAGAGATCAGAAACCTACTTTAGGTTGGCACAAGTACATATCAAAAGCTCAATAAATTTTACCCTCAATTTATTGTCAAGTATTTAAAACATTGGAAAAACAGAATGCTTAGAAAAATGTCCGTCTGATTTTTCATTACAGAAAAACATTTTCAAGAGAAGGAAGTTTATCTTGGGGGCATATAGGATTAAGATCTATCACCGCAATTGCTCTTATGGAGATGTTCTTATTTGGTGGTGTGCAGGGCTTGGGGTGGTTGTTTAGGAGTTTGTAAGGAAAGAAATGAACCTGCAAGGAAGAGAAAAGCCCAGCCATTGATTTCTGATGTTTTCTGGGAGAACAGAGAAGTCCAAAACAGGAAGTGACTAGCACACAATTCTGAAGAATTTTGATGGAATTCTGCAAAATGGGAACAAAAAGTCTACTCGAAATGGTAAAAACTCAGGTTCCATTTAAACCCTTCTGCACTAGATTGCTTAGAACCACACACCTAAGAATGGTTTTCTCTTTTGGATTCAGTGACCTATCTAAAGAAAACAATGATTCGATACCTGTGGCTGCTTGCTCTGTGCTAACATGGTCTTGACACACGGAAATCTCTAGTGAGGTGGAACCTGATGAATACCACTCCAGTTACCCTCGTCCTTCTATTCTGAGTAGCTGCCCTGAGTCAGAGGAGGAAATTTCAGCATCCTTCAGTTTCAAGCTAGCACTGGAGACTCGGGATAAATACAGAATGCCCTTCTGCCCACTCAATGTCAGCGACAGCTGAGCTTTTCCCCACAGAGGCATGCCAGCAGCAGCCCGAGCGCCCTGACAGTCAGAAGCAGTCAGGACCTTCTGAGCATCTTGGACAGAGCATTTAAGCTGCATCCTTCATGGCAATCCCCAGTTGTCAGGTTTACACAGAGCTTCAAGCTTTGCAGTTTTCACTTCAAAACCCTTTCCCATCCCTCCTCACCTTCTAGTCCCAAGGACTCGGGGACTTTCCTGGGTCAGCTTGTTTGAGGATGGCAGGGGGCTGCTAAAAGCAGGGCTTGCAGCTAGAAAAGCCAACCGCACCCAGAGCATCTCCAAACGGATGCCCACAAGACTATAAATACACCTCCACTTCGCCACAGGGAGAAATCAATCATTTGACTTTTATTGGTCCAGGGTGGTTTGTATAGCCTATTATTTTTCCTAGCAACAATACAAAATCAGCACACATGTTTACAAAAGACAGCTCTTTTGTAATCCAGTCTTCCCTGGATTCCATGTATACTCATGTGTCTGTGTGATTGTCAAAGGGAAACACATTTGAGTTACTGTTTAGTAAGAAAAGGAGGAACTCAGGAGGGCTATCTGTTTGGCAATTCCGGTGATGTTCTTCCCTCCTGGCTTAAGTGTGGAATATAAAATCCCTAAAATAAAATAGGCATATGCCTCCTGAGGGCTGATGAAGATAGGCCTAGATCCTCAGAATGGGGGTAGGATGGAAATCCAGGATCCACCCAATGGCTCAACAGTCATTGCCCTGGCAAAGGACTCAAGTTCTGACTCCAGCACCTACATCGGGTTGTTTGCCACTGGCTATAACTCCAGCTCCTGGGGATCCAACACCCTCTTCTGGCCCCATCAGGCACCTCACATGGTCATAAAACAAACAAACAAAAAAATCACAAACACACAGACACAAATATGTATCTCCTTTGAGGAAGTAAAGGAAAGGTAAAATAGAGACCCCTTCCTTGCCAGGTAACTGCTGCCAGTGCTTCACACACAGAGACTCATGGCCAAAGCCAAACATGGACTAAGTGACAACATAAAATAGTTTACGGCACATGAAATGGGCAGTGAGCATCATGTATCTCCACCTTCCTCCCGGGACAGATGTTCAGAGGAGGCCTTTGGGAGAGGTGTGCCTGCAGACAGAGTCTTTGGATAGCCTTAGAGAACCTGTCCCTAGCTGTTGATGGTAGGACATCTGTGTCGTACCATGTTAGCATCTACCTGCAAAGCAGGGCTTCCAACTAGTGATAAGATCATCCACTGTCCTGGAGAAGCTTTGCTTTAGATCACAGAGTGGGTATGAGGAAGGCGTGGAGACTGAAGGGAGGAAGCTAGGTGAGGAGCCAACAACCCAGGAATCTAAGAGATGGTGGGCACAGCACCCGGGAAAATGGTGAGTCTGTCTTTTCAGTAAGACTGGAGTGGGTGGAACGCCACACCACGGAAGCAACAGAAGAGACACTGAGTGTGCTTGGGAGGAATGTTAAACAGCACGGTGACGCATCCAGCTGCACGGGAAGGATTTTTAGGAGAAGGACAAGAAGACCTTGAGAGCACAGCCTTCATTTGCAAACAGCCCTGCGTACCTTGTTCTCAAAGAGGCAAACCCCAAATCTGAAAGGGAGCTGTTATTATATAGAAAGACAGAGGCAAAGGCTCTGTCTGCTAGATAACGGGACCTCATCTCATTCCATTTGCTCAGCAAACATTTATTAGGCTACACCAGAATTAAATGAAATGAACTAGTGCATGAACAATTATGATGTTTATTCTCAAGCACCTACAGTAGATTTAATTGGTAAGATGGAAAGACTAGAGAAACATAGGAAACAGTAAAATCTGGTGTTTGCTTACATTTTTAGGAAGAAAACAAATAACAGAGAAACACTAGGCAAGACAGTGCATGCCTGTCATCTTGGCACTTGGGAGGAGACAGAAAGGCATTGGAAGTAAAAGGTTATTTTCAGAATGTTAGTCACTTCCAGGTCAGCCTGGATCACATGAGATCCTGTCACAAAAAAGACCAAAACAAACAAAAACAGAAATACAGGGTTTCACAGCCATTAGGATCAAGATTTTCTATTTGCATGTGTGTGTGGGAGGGGAGGTTGTATGTACATATTCCTCTGTGTATGTGTGTGTGTGTTCATGTGTGTACATGGGTGTGTGTGTGCGCATGTGTATGGAGGCCAAAGGTCAACCTTAGGTGCCTTCCACACTTGTTCTCCATCTTATTTTTTGAGACAGCTCTCTCAGTGAACCTGGAACTCACTGACTGGGTGGACAAGCTGGCCAATGAGAGCTAGGTATTCACCTTCTCAGCTGACCACTACTCCAACCCTGGATGTTAGCTGTGTGCCCATATTTATGTGGGTGCTAGGGATTCAAACTTGGGTCCTCGTGTCTGTTGAGGCAGGAAATTTGCCAAATGAACAATCTCCTCAAGCCCCAATTTTCTTTTCTTTGGGTTTGCTTTCTTGTTTTTAAATCAGAGTTCTTTATGCAACCCAAGATGACCTTAAAGCTCTCAATCCCCCCGCCTCAGCTTCAAGACAACAAAGACTTCCAGACTACAGGCATGCACCATGACACCTGGCCGAGATTTTCTATTCTAATCTCACTTTAGAATGTGAAGAACCTGAGGTCATCCTGTTAGTGATGAGGCCCTGAGCCAACTCCCATAGGAGAACCCTTTCTCCTCTGTGGTGTTAAAAATGGCAAGCTACGATGTGCCAACCACTACAGTTGGGAGGGGTGTATTGTGAGAGATCTCTCTTTATGGGAGAATTCCTGGAGCTGGCAAGACCTGAGCAAGGCTTGAGGGAACGAGAATGAATTAGACGATGGGGAAAAGGCAGAAGGAATTTCTAGGTGGAGAAACACCAGTCAGCACAACATACAGCACTAGCCAAGGGGTGTGGGCAGTGACTAGGAAATCATCAGAACGTGCACCTTCACCTTCCAAGCTGCCACTTTTCACCACCTTAGGGCAATGATTGTCTTTTGACCCTTCACCAACTCTACGGAATAATCATTATTGCATAAGACTTTGAAGAGTGATGTCTTACTCTTCTTGCTCAAGATTTTCAGCCCATCATTTCCAAGCATAAGGTTAGTGGATGAAGACAAAACTGACTATCAAAATGGGTAGGAACCCCAGAGAGTTTCTGTGACCTTTTCACAAGACTGAGTGATATGGGAAGTTCTTCTGTATATGTGTTGCTTTATTGGTTAACGAATAAAGAAGCTACTTTGGCCTGTGATAGGGCAGAATAGAGTTAGATGGGAAAACTAAAGTGAATGCTGGGAAAAAGTAGGTGGAGTCTGTGGGAAGCCGTGTAGCCGCTGCAAGAGACAGTGCTGGACGGTGGACAGAACCTTACCAGTAGGCCACAATCACGTGGCGATACACAGATTAATAGAAATGGGTTGATTTAATATATAAGAGCTAGCTAGAAAGATGCCTAAGCTATTGGCTAAACAGTGATTTAATTAACACAGTTTCTGTGTGGTTATTTTGGGTCATGGCAGCTGGGAAACGAATGAGTGGCCTCTGCCAACAAGGGAGGTTTCTCTCAGACTTAGAGGGCAAACAGGAAAAACTAAGAAACTGAAAGGTTTTTGTTCATTTCAAGAGTATTTGTTAAATCAAAGATTGCAATGTCTCATTGCAGACTATATTCCCTATGCAGGGCCTAAGCAGGGTTTACAAAGGGATGTGTAATGCATGGATCTCTGACAAGGGACATGGGAACTGTCAGTGAAAGCTAAGTTAAAGTGCTAGCCATGTAAGTATTCAATCAGAGAGAGACAGAGACAGACAGAGATGGGGAAGAGATTTAAAGAAGAAACGAAATAGTTTCCTGGTAACCAAGTAAGTTTGGGATTTCATAAGGTGTTTGACTATACTAAACGTTTTGGGGTGGGATTTTTTTTTTTTTTTTGAGCATTGGAATTTTTAAATTTATTTTCTTTGAATCAATGTTTCCAAGCTTACTTGGCCATAGACATTTTTTTTAAGATTTATTTATTATGTATACAACATTCTGCCTCGATG